AGATGTAAAGAAGAAGAATCTGCATGTCATAGGCATGTCAAGTAGAGTGATTAACCAGATCCTTTTAGCATATAGTTGATTTGTTTTTACTTATCCCAAATTCTGAAGAAATTGTTATGTTTATTATTTCATTTATAATTAAAAATAGAAAAATTAAATACATATCAGCATTTGTAATGTTTTGTCTTCACTTTATTCACTGGTTTTTATTGGGTGACTGTAGTTAAGTAACAAATGGCCTAGATGCTCGGAAATTATCTTGATAAGGATAACATGGAATTGCCGACTTGCTCCGACTGAACCCAAGTCCAGATGAAAAGAACTTGTCAATAAGAGCATTAGGCTGTAAAATGAAGCCAAAACAAGAGAATGGATTTGATATACACTTCCTTTAACATTATCGTCATTTCATTTTCTTGCTACTCCAGCTGTGCTAGGTCAGCTGTATCAATTTACTTGTCATTCCTCTATTTCTTTTGAGCTTCATCCAATTTTCTTCATTGTTTCTTGCACTATTTCCCTTGGCTTGTCTTTTTTCAAATAATCTAAAAAAGGACTATATTTATTCAGTATTTTATATGATAAAACATCATCTTTCTCTTTGATTGTTATCCCATTTTCTGTTTCTTATTTGACTTCATATTCTAATTTGAGCCTCATGAATTTCCCTTATGAATTCCCCATTCTTTAGTGCAGGAACTGGTTTTGATTATGTTTACAGTTAAAATTTGATAATTCTTTAATTAAATTAAATTAAAATGGGTTATGATTTCAACTCAGTTATGCTGAAAAGTTAAATTTTATCATGCTTTTCCCAATGCTTAAAATGCAAGCATAAATGTATAAAGAATTTGAATAAAATTACTTCCAGCTATGTTCGTAACATGTTAATTTTCATACATTTTATTTAACTGGGTCATTTGTATAATTATACGACCTTAATAAACAGTTACGTAACAGATTTTTGTAATAAATAATTAAAATTTTTATATTATTTGCAAATTTTATTCATAAGTTTTGAAGAATAAACATGTGTATAACAAATTTTCTTAGTTGTAATGATATATTTTATTTTAATTTAAAAAGAGGAAAGCATGAAGTATCATTAGTGATCTAATATATTATTTAAATTATAACAATGGTCGTTAATATGATAAATGGTTTTCAGGTTTTGTACAACTTTTTCTATGAACGCGATTAACTATATCAATACAAGCTATTTATATATCATTATATAAGTTATTCTGACAATAGTATGCAGATATCTGATAATTCGACCTTCTTTTTGGCCGATGAACTCCTTGACGTTTAAAATACGTTTAATTTATTAAGCTAGACATATTAAAAATTGAATATTTAATTATGTAATTGGCAAATAATTTTAAGTAAGCATCCTGTTATTTTTACATCCCATGATAAAGCTTGCGTTTTTCATTTTTTGTGTGCAAATATGGTTTCTGACTTTTGACCTTTGACATAGTGAACATCAAAAAGTAATTATACAATTTAATAATTATTGCTGTATTTGTTTCTTTATAACATTAATAATTACTCCTTGTGCAACTGTCTTTAAAAATGTGTAGTTGACACTTAAATAATTATTTAATTAATGTAATTAACCTAACCATAGTCCAGAGTTTTCTACATTTGTATATGTCTCTTCATGCATGAGGATTCTATTTATATATTATATTTACAGAGGCATTACTTTATTTCTTTGTTAATAAAGTGTAATTACATATAATTTAGAGATTTACTTAATTGTAGGACCATATTTCTTTCTAATTCACAATACACAACTCTCACAATCAATTCCATTAGTCCGTCAAAGTTTCCTTTACTTGCTGCAAGTGTTTGAAGTATTTTCTCTTGGAGCTGTGACCACTTTATATGGCCATCCTTCTGGCAGTACAGCTATGCATCGCCGTTTGAATACTAACAGGAGTACAATCTCTTCAGGCAAGAATAAACCTTAGTCTTTTGTTCTATCTGCCGATATCATAGCCTATCTTTCTTTCCTTGTTTACTTTCCTAATTAGCAAATCTCTAGCACTTGTTCATGTCCGAAGTCGGCTTGTTAATGTGTCAAAAACGTTTGTTATGCTTGCATCATTATTTAAATATCTAGAAGAAGTGTTATTTTTATATATAGAAAAGTAAAATGAATATTTCTTAATATACTGAGCATAATAAAAGCATAACAAGTAGCAGCATGCTAGTAGAACAAAGCAAATTTCTAATTATTTTTTGATATTTTCCTACAACACATTAGAAATGAAATTAATATACCTATACTGTATTTAAATTTGCGTAAATCGACGTTCAGTGTTGTTAAAATAAAAGAAACAGTCGTGAAAGTTCTAAGAAGTCACTCGAAATATCAAAAGAAAAATAATAAAGAACAATCACAATCTTGTAATTACTTCGGGAGATATATTACTATTATTTAGAAAGTAGGTTATTGCTCGAAGCAAGAAAATATAATGAAGTTATGATGATATTTTTTTTACTAGAAAATGGACAATACGTCTCTTCGTGCACGAGAACGTCGACAAATTCTCGGGATTAAATTATTTGTTTCTGCTGCAAAACGCATGCATTCTGGAGATTTTGCTGGTCATTCTATATAAATTTTAACCAATGCTTCTAGTTATTTATATACCGGATGAGCTAAGTAACGAACAAATCAGCGTTTAGATGATGTATAACAAATCGGCATTTTATTTCATTAATGTAATGACATAAAATTCATGAGTTTACTTCACTAAAATTAAATATCTAAATATAAAAATTTGGAAAAATTCCTCGTAGAAAGTATTTCGTAAAAGTTAAGTATTTACGGACTTATTTTTTTTGTTCGTTAATTATAATTTAGGTCAAATATTACTTTTATGTTACAGGAATTTAACACATGCATTAATATTTAAAATTTTTTTAGCAATGATTAAGATTGTTACTAAAAAAATCTGGTAAAGCATACTTTTCTTATAAATTACAGTTTTAATTAACGAAAATTTGTGAGAAATCATCATAACTTTCAGGTTTTTAAGTCACCTTACCAGGATTTTTTCAGAAAGTATTTATTTTTTTGTTAAAAAACGTCTGCCAAAATCGGCCGACTTCAAATATTACTTTTCCGAACTATATTTAGCTTCAAACCAGGCAAAAATAATATATTTTTCGTAATCTTTGACGATCTGTACAAACCGTAAGTAGTCAAGAGTAATAATAATGTATCTCAGATAGCTGTAATGAGTTTTATTGTACGTTAATTGTATGTGCAGGTGCTTTTCTTTTAGAATTTTAAACATTCCGAAAGAAAAGCACCTGTGTGTTCAAAATTTTCATGGCTTAAATAATTATAATGATTTATTTTGAGTGTAAACACAATATTAATCTTGTTTATGCTACAAGATTGTGCGTTTAAATATTTTCAAATGAAATATTTGTTCTGTTTTAAAATATTTTATACTATTTTTTTTTTTGCTTAATTTTGTTAGTTTTGTGCTTTGGATCCAAAGACAATGAGTACAATCTCTCAAAAGATGTTATATTTTGATTAAATCTACAAAACTTTGTGTATTTTTATTAATTTTTTATACTTCTGTTACTTTTAAGGTCTAGAAAAAGTATCTCTACCTATTTTTGACTACGTTCCAAGCTGTCGAAAACACTGGATTCATTCAATTTTTAAAACCATTCTATTTGAAAAAAAACGATACGAGGAACAGATTTTTATTATTATTTTAAGGAGTATTTTTTTAGACTTAAATTTATTATATTGAGTTGTAAAGGAGACATCTCAATCTAATTATTTTGAGCTCTTCGTATGTGGTTGCGAGAAATTTTACTTACTTTCTTTGGATTTCTCTTATTGACTACTCTTTGGAAAAGTGAACCAATGGATCTAGGACTTATGTGGATCGCAACGAGCAAAAGTTGAGATTTGGTGTTGGCTTCGCTGTTCGGCAGTCCTGCGTCGTACTAATAGATCACTAACTTTTTGATGTTTTACGTATTTTAGTTCACTTTAAATAGTTGACTTCAATTTTATGTAAATTTAATTTAATTAAATGAAAACGTGAATATTTAAAGTATTAAATTATGTCTCAAATTTTAGTCAAAGGTTAACTTTCTTGGTCATAAATTCATTCTATCTAATACGTTAGAATATTGAGATATCAAATGTATACTTTGAAGGATGTAATTTGAATATTTCAATAAATTTTCAATTAAATTCTCTGTAATCCAAGCCAATTCGTTCTTAAACTTTAAACTTGTTTCGTATCAATAGACCAATGCATATTGGTTACTTCTAGGTTTAATTTAAGAGCGACTACCATCATTAATTTCTAGAGAATTTGTAGAAAACATCATTCAAATGCGAATGTTAATGGTAGTTATTTCAATTGTTTTAATACTGTGACATTAAAAAAAATGCACCTTTGAGTTGTCTCGGTTATTGATTATAAACTTTCAATAGAAAAGTGCGTGCGTATGTGGTTTTAAACTTATCGCAACTGATTGGTAAATCTATAAAAGTATATTTTAATGTTTATGTAGTGCTGTAATATGTTTAAGAACCTTAGACTCTGTTGCACAATTGGACATTGTTCATGCATTTAAAGTAAGTCTTAATACTTATACACTATTTTGGTTTGTAAATTGCATTCTTTACACTTGTTTATCTTTATTAACGATTTCTCTTGCCACGTGAACAAGACGATTTTGATCTTAAAGATATCGAGACAATAGGATATGTAAATAGAGAAATTAAAAAAAACTTCTCCTCGGGTGTTTTGAATAGCATTACAAACAAGGTCATTCAGATTAATTTTTGATCTGATTATACTTTTAAGGTTAAGGTGGTCTTTACTAGCAGACCAGAATATGCCTATATTAATAATGAGTTACTATCATTAACCCGAAAAGCAGTATAAAATGCTTCATACTAATGATTGATTTAAGGTCAGTTTACTAAAAATAATTAATTTAATTAGGTGAAGGAGATAATACCAGCATTCCCAGTCCAAACACTATTGCGGGAACGTTTCCATTTTCTCGTACGTCGTCGACCGGTTCCATAGACATGCTGACTTCTTCCTCCGCCCAGAATACAGGTACGTTGCCCTAATTGTAATATCTTACAACCATTTTATATCTAAAATTTAACATGTATCATAATAAACTCCTATAATTTATTATAAAGTATTGGGATTTTCAGAGGTAGAAAATTGCTAGGAATAATTGAAGCACTTTGAAAATTAGAAAATATTCTATACCATTCAATATATTTTTACGAAACTTGACACGAATATTCTTTGACAACCTAGAAAAATACTGTGGGCATTTCCCATCCTTCATCATCCCTAAAGCCTGAAAGTTTTTGAGTTCTGCTGTTTCATTATTGTAAATACTTGTCAATAAATGTACATTTTAGTTACTAAGATCATTGTTTTTATCATCCTCTCCCCATCCAAACTCATCAATTCCTACCCTTACAAAAGCTCGAGCAATGCTGGGCTCACACGGGTATAGTCCACACAGAGAAAGAGTAGACAAGAGTCAGCCTCAGCTGGAAGGGTGTATGTCAGACAAAAGGTATGAAAAGATACGTGTTATTAATCTCTATGAGTAATGTTAGAATTAAGAATAAGTAATAAAATTTGTAAAGAAAAATAAGACAATAAAATTATGATAAAAATGTTTTAAAAGTATAAAAAACAAAACAGTTAAGTGATCAGATCCATATGTCAACTCCCAAGGGGGTAGCCAAATGTCTCCTTCAATCCCTTTCATCCAACATAGACCTTTCCAGCTCAGGCTGACTCATATTTACTCTTTCACTGTGCAGATTATAGCAGACTATATATGCTAGACTACCTATGAAATGATGATGATGTGCTAAAAGTGTTAGCATGTATTTGAGGTATATTTGATATAATTGTGTTGTTCAATATTAACTTCCAATTCCCAATAAGTTATAGATTATCTACTTTATTGGAGAACAGAATTGCTTATTAACAGTTCTTAAATACTTTCGAGCATCACCAGTTCTTCCAATTTTAAACTTTCTTTTATTGTGATTTTAATCACATTTAAACATAGAAATGCTAAACTTATAACGAAAGGACAAATTAAACGTTACTTTGTTGGCTTATTTTAGATGACGAAGACAGCGACCACAAGTCTACTCTGAGTTACAAAGAAAGACGAAGAGAAGCGCACACTCAGGCTGAACAGAAGAGACGAGATGCCATTAAGGTAAAATGGAATTATAAATTTTTTTTGAACATTATGCAAAAATAAAATTATAAGTTTTTAAAAATGATTTTTCTTAAAAAATATATCTGAATATTAAATATAAGGACTTTGACATTTACACAAGTTATAATAATTACAATTGAAATTTAAATATTATGCTTACCATTATACAAGTTAAGGGATTCGGTCTTAAATTAGATCATCAAATTCTATTCATTTTAATAAGTAAAAATACATTTGGTTTAAATATAGCTTGAAAATCTGAGAATTAGATATTTTCATATTAATACCAAATATATAAATACTTGGGCACTTGAAAAGTTCCTAGAATTGTAGTATAACAATTTAATGATACAACATATGTAAACACTTACCTGATCACTTTTAAAATATGACCCTTTGATGCTGACATACTTGCCCCATTTATCCTGCTATTGTTGGAAACACTGTCAGAAGATGACTTTTGGAATTTTTGAGAGTTTGCCTGCTCATTTGATTTGATGTCCTCCATGACATGGATGATGTGGTGCACCGTATGTTTGTACTTACTGGATAGTGTGTTACTGTTCATTTCTATATGCAAGTTTTGCTTGGGTTGCAAGATGCAGTTCAGAGGAAATAGTGCAATGTGTGACTGGGAGGACTGTTTTTTATTGTGATAACATGACAAGTCACTTGTTGTTTGTCTTGAAGCAGTTCCGTGCTGACAGAAGACTTTTTGATGTCACCTGATTGCCTTACTCACTGGATATTCTTTTTTGGCCATCTCCTACACTGAAAATGGGTGTCAAAGGGTTGCGTTTTTGCAACCAGGGATGTCATCGAATTAAATGCAACTGCCAAACTCCCAAATATTAAAAAAAAAGCCTTCAGATGGCACTTCCAACATTGGCTGGATTAATGGGGCAAGTGTGTGTGTTCCAAAGAGTCCTACTTTGAAGGTGATTATGTTGCGTTTCTTACCACTACATTGCTATACTGCAATACCGCTATATATTTTTGTTCTGTAATTCTCGACTTAAAAATTTGTAAACCTTTTTTAATATTTAATATTATTTAGAAATAACTGACAATCAATCTAACCTCAATTGTTTCTTACAACAAACTTTCCTGCATAAGCTGAATAATTAATTACATTTCTAACTGTTACAGTTAGAAATGTAATTAATTATTTTTCAAATCAATAAAAAATTTGAAAAACTGACCATTCTCACACCTGTTCATCTGTCATTGTGCTCTCACATGATAAAATGGGATTCTTTGGTGTAAATAATTTATTTTTGGTGTAGAATGATATTGGAATTGTTTAATTTTATGTTATTTACAGTCTCATTTGATTTGTGCTTTGAAAAAGTTTTTTATTGTTTTGAGTGATATGAAGGTTATATAGGAAATAAGTTATACTATGCCAGAAATGTGTGGTTAAATTGGAAAATATTGTATAAGTAATTCAATTGAAGGTAGAAATTATTTTAATAATGTAGAAATAAGTTTTTAACTTTAAAGTGTGCGAGAAAATGATGTGTTTGTAAATATAAATTTAAAAAAGTGAACAATGTATGGCAGTGTTACAAACTCAACCCAGTATCACCAACTTGTTTTTGTGTGTAAAATTCCAAAAGCCGTTCTGCATAGCTCCCAAATGATAAATGTTGTAAAAATTACAAGATTTAATTTTAATTCATGTCTTTTCTATTTTATTTCTTTACAAATGATCTTTCACACTGAAAACTTTGGCATGCATAAACATTTTTCACATTTACAGACTTGTTTTTGGCACATGGACACAAAATTGTTTTCTGTCTTCATGTTAGTTGATGATCGTATAAATTATTAAAACAATTTCTGCAATAAATGATGACATATGGCGATTAAATATATAATCATATTTCAGTCCATCTCAATAACTAGATACATAATAATAAGTTTAGAAAATTTTATTTAGAAAGGATACGAAGATCTTCAGAATCTGGTCCCGACCTGTCAGCAACAAGACAGCGTTAGTAGTTACAAACTTAGCAAAGCCACGGTACTTCAAAGATGTAAGTAGCAATTAATATCTATTATAATGAGTGTAGTAAAGAGAATGTCATAACTTCATTTGAAGACATTTTTGAATTTATAGTCTAAATATTTATGACAAAATTAATTAGTAACTTTTATAGAATGAAAATGAATCTGAGGCTAAGTGCAAACTAGTTGATATCACAGCACACAATCACATGCGACGTTGAACTAAATTCATATGATTATTGTAGGTTCGTTCATCAACCATGTGATCCTTGTTTTGATATAACTATGTCACACTCTTCAACAGAAAGTTGGCGACTCATAGATCCAAGTTGTTTGATATTCTGTGTAATGAAATATTTATGCCACTTACTTCATCTAAAACTTGTAATTTTCAGTCAGTTTTTTGATTTATTATCATACTTATACGGACATTATAATTATTTCAATAAATTGTTTACATATGACTATATGTATTTTATATATCACTTTCTAATTAATTCATTGTCAATAAAAAACACATGAGGTTTTAGCATGAAGCTATAAGTAATACAATTGTGATCACCAATTTTCTTTATTTTGTAAACTAACTCTTATGAGTAATAGTTTGTAGAGGACATAACAAATGTTCATTAGTTCTTTGAAGCTTGTCATGAGTCAGATGTCATGAATTCGTTGGAGGAAAACAGTCACATGACTACAGGGGTCTTGTCTGACTTTGCATTGAAAGTAACGACATCTACTAGTTTGCACAGGGCTAAGTTATAAAGCCAAACAAAGGAGTATCACTACTTGTGTATAATTTAAAATAATTTTTTTATTAATATTGAGTTAAAACATCACTTTAATACTTTAATGATTGATGTTTCAAAAATTTCTCTCTAGTATAGATTTTGGATCAGTTTAACACAAGTTACTACATTAAAATGTATCTAAAAGGCACCTTCTATAAATGAAAATATGCCTAAACAAAAAATGAATTTTAGAAAATGACAATTTGATATGTAATATAGTATTGTAATGCAGAAACTGTTTTGGAAATCACTTATGTGATATAAACCGAGTTATGTTAAATTTTCTGGCGTAACAGCAGCTAATTTCTAAATCATAATCAACGATGATGGAGTTTGCCAACAGATATATTTGAATGCTGCATAAAATATATATTATAAATATATATGTTGCTTGTAGTGCCAAATGTGCCTTAAGCCCTGGTCACACTATGCGATTTCCAGCCGCGCAGGCGACTGCAACCGCGACAGTCATTCTCGTTAACTAGTAATCCCCCTCGAAAACTGGTGCGACTGCAATGACAATTAGAAACAAAAAGTTTGTTCTACTCACGACAATTGCAAACATGCATCCAATCAACAAATGCCTTTGTGCCACGTCATACAGTGACAACATTGAAAATAGTTCATCATCATTGCTGATAATTAGAGGATTACTACTTTTACAGAATTGAGATTGATTGCGCTTATTCATACTCACAAATACCTGTGGAATTTTAATTTTTTGTTTTATCGAAAATTTTATCTTTTTGTGTATTCTCTCCAGCTCTATCAAAATAATTACCTTTTTTCTTTTATTCATTCCGAAAAAGGAACTGCTTGCTATTTTAATAAGAAAATGGCTAAAATTCCATAAATACTGTGAAGTAGAATATAAAATGTCGGAAAACTCACAAAAGTAGTCAAAAACAAGCTACTGTAATTTTATTGGTTTATTATAGGGTCAGTGTTTCCGAGTTGCAACGTCAACGAACAATGTGTGACCACGAGAAGACACGCACAACTCGCGCTTGTTGCAGTTGCAGTCTCCTGCATGGCTAGAAATCGCATAGTGTGACCAGGGCTTTAGAGACTATATTTTTTATAGAAATATTTTCCATGCATCCCAAAATATTTCTTTACAAAACATCAAATAGAGGTACTCTCAGTTATGATCACTTGGTATACCTGTAATTTATTTTTTATAAGACTGTATAATAAATTAATAAAGAAAGGCTAAAAGAACTTATTTATTACAGTAAACAAGTTGATTTTATTTATCCAATCTGTAATGTCAATTTTCAAATGAGATTTCTGTAGTCATATCACTGTTTTTTTAGATGGTGTCAGTGTTGGAGATTATGATATTGTTTTTAATGTAGTTCTAACGACACAATAAATACTTCATCCAACCTCTAAATTATTTCTTGGAAGAATTTGTTTATAAAATCGGCAATTATGATGCGTTCCTTGTAGCTTTGTGCTACGACCTCTTGCATATTTTTTACTGAGAATGAATTAATAAGTGATATAATATCTATATACATTGATACCTCAGTTTTTGTTGATAATCCGTCTGAAAACAATCTGCAAAATCCGAAACCCGAAACCGACAAAAATTGAGGCAATTATTTCCATGTGAATCAATGTAAATCCAATTAATTTATTCTAGACACTCCAAAATACATATTAAAAATACATTTTATAGAGAATGAATATAGTGTTGTAATACTAAAAACAATAAGAAATTAATATAAAAAATGAATTTGAAAGATTAATATAAAGAATAAATGAACATTTAACATGGCATTCGATGGGCTACTGGCTCTGAAAACATTCTTTGGTCCCATGATGGAGCTAAAAGGAATGGAAAGCAATGGAATTGTTTGGCTAGACGTGCAGGATTTAGCTCACACAACGAGAAATGACACACTGAGCAGGAAAACATGTGGGTCTCACTATGTTTATGCAAAATTAGCAGGAAGTTATGTGGGTATGCTGATGAAATTCAAGGTGACCGGTGAAAACCGAGACAAATTTTTACAAAAAATCAACAGAAACCAAAACCGATGATAACCCAATAAAAACTGTTATAATTTCAATAATTATGGTAATCAATCAGAAACCTTTTATTCAAATTTGCAGCTTGTAGCCAAAACAAATGTCATAAATATTTTTTTAGTGCAAGAAATATTTAACATGTTGAATCCAAGAATTGTCAAAGGGACTGCCTACTTTCTGTCAAAGTGTGTAATTTGCAATGACATCCTTGCAATCTTCAACAACCTGGCAGTCATTAGTCAAACCTAGGATGAGCATATAAATTTAGTTTGATGTAAAGTCCCATGAGTTAGTTGCAACATCAACTATTTTGCACTTAGCCATAGGAATTTGGGTGTTAAGATTGATTAAGTTTAAGTAGAAAATAATTTTTTGTCACATTTTAGTTGTATACTTTTTATTATTGTGTGTAGTTAAGCTCAAATATATTAATAATTAATTGTGTTAGAATATAAAGTATAATCTTAATAAGTGATTGTTTTTATTTTCAGCTATAGATTATATCCAATTCTTATTACAACAGAAGAAAAAACAAGAAGACGAATTAAATGCGCTACGCAAAGACGTCGTAGCGCTGCAGATCATGGAAGCGTAAGATTTGTATTATGAATGATTTATCATTAGAAAATTTATTAAATTTCAGTTTTAATTTGTATATTTTGATGTCAATAGAAATTACCAGCAGATGGTTAAAATGCATCAGAGTCAGCCCGGGCAGAATCCTAGTCAAATCAGTGATGAAGTGAAATTTAAAGTTGTAAGTTGGATTTTTTTATATTAATAACAATCTGTGCTTTTAGCAAAGAATAACTGTATGGTCACATGTATATTTTTGTACACAGTAGATTTCTTACGTGGATATTTCATGGTTGTAATTATAGCATTAATTAATTAATTGAACATGACTTTGGATGCAATTCTTTAGAAGAAATTCAGCTAATTGTTAGTTATTTTGAATTTCTTTGATTAGCTGTGTGTTAGTAATTGAAATCATTGTACCATTATAGGTTTAATAAGTTTTATTACCTGAAGATTCTTAATTTATTAATAAAGATTCGAAGTTTGGTCACAAAAATTAAAACAATAATTCATTTCATCAAATATTTGAAAAAATTTCAAAGACATAAATAGATAGAAAAAAATGCTTTTTGTGAGAGTATAATGCACTAATTGTTGTAGAATTTTCAAACAAACAGGAACAAAAGAGTATACGAACAATATTTTGCTATGTTTCCATAGTAGCAGAACTGAATTTCTAATGACGAACTGTATTAGTACATTACATTACACAAATAGCATATTTTTCTGTTTATTGAATTCATTTCATAATGCTAATTTTAAATTTCTGTATTTCTTTTTTCAGTTTCAGGCCGTCTGCGATTCTCTCTTCCAGTCGTTTAACTCTTCGATTTCGGTCTCCAATTTCGCCGAATTATCGGGATGTGTTTTCAGTTGGTTAGAAGAGTTTTGTAAGCCTCAGAAACTTCAAGAATTAGTGTTATCCATACTTCGTCAGTTAAATAGTCAGTTATCTTAGTTGTATGTTATAAATCTAACATTTTTGCTGCAGATTTCGATTAATCTTTCACACCTGGTTATGGTTGAAAAGTAGTGTTTTAAGATAGAATCTCAGATAAGAAACAGTATTAGATTTATTTATCATAACTGTTTATTTTGTGTGCAAAAACTGTACTAAACAGTTAGAAAATAGTATATGTAACCTGATACAGTCACCTTCTACAATTTAAAAATGTTTTATAAATTAAAACTGTACTGTTAATTTTTCTGTTCAATTAATATAACACTAAAACGTATTTAAGTTTCACAAGTACATTAGACTGCAACAATTCTAAATTTAAAAGTTTTATATATAAAATATATATTAGGTAAACAAAGGGCAATACTTCAGCCTACTATCTTAAGAATTATACTTTTCAACACAATCTGCTTAGCTTTTTCATTTGAATTCTGAGAGAAACGAGTAAATATCCATATACTTTGGAGCATTAAATTTAATTAATAAATGCTGACTCGAGATTGTCTTATTTACTTATATTTGTAATATTTATGTTTAATTTTGTACGGGTTGTTTTGTACATCTGGAAAGCTGCACACTATTCTAATAGTGCTCTGTAGAATTTTTATATTTATATCAATGATCTGTGATGTGCTTCAGATTTGTTTAAGTTAATGTGCAGAGGATGCAAATTGTACATACTTGTACTTATCTTGCTACCGTGCGTAACAACGTTAATTTTACTTCAATTGCTTTATCAAAAATTTCTTAAAAAGTATACAAAAGTAAGATTAAATTTAATTTTTATGTTGTAACAATTCTGTTACTATGTTAATTCAAATCTTTAAGTAAATACATGAAATTTATGGCTAATTTATTAAAATAGCATTGATAATGTCGGAAAACAGTATTATCAAGGTAATAAATTGAATGTGAAATATGTTAACAGGCTTTTAAGTTCAAATAGATTCAAACAGTGTCTTTGACACTATAAATGAGCTTATCGGTTTAAAATTTTAATTCCAAATATTTAATTTAGATAGGAATTCTGCAGCAAAAAGTTAGTAAAATTTTATTTTTGTTTTAAGAATATGACAAATATATGTTGTATAGTCAAATTAGGGATATTCATGAAGTGAAATTTATGAATATCCCTAATTTATTTCCTGAATTTCAAATTATAATATATATATATACACACACACACATCTTTGTTTTCTAAATATAAATTCAATATATTTTTTAGAAAAATAAATTTACTATATAATATAGGATAGGTATTTGTAATGTGATATACAAAACATTCTTTAATCTATGCATGCAAAACTCCTCCAACAATAGACGAAAGTGTATGATTATCAGCTTTATTACTATTAATAATGTGAATTTAATTAACTGATGAATAAATCTTCATCCTGACATTCCAAGTTTAAACAATACATTTAAAAAAGTTAATTTACTATCATTTAAATTTACAATTGTTAAAAAATTTTAAAATATTTGCAATTTACAGCATTTTTTTAGTGCACATTATTTAAAACACATTCAACAATGCTTTTATGGTGTTCATAAAACATTTAAATAACCTTTCTAGGAAGAATATGCACATATACACATGGATGTTGGTCCAAACATCTTCGGAATATAGCAAATTTTATTTATTGTTGTAGTTGACACTATCACGAAGTGAAAAATCAGGAATGTAAGAAGAGTAGTTAAGAACTCTACATTTAGATGATTAACAGCAACTTTGCAAGTTAAGACATTAATGTGCATGTGCAACTAACTGTCTTGTCATGGATAATGGGGGTTGAACTCTGCAATGATAACTACTACATGATAGATTCAAAATAATGCCATTTGAAAGCAATTTTTCCTGAATAATTAAATTAATTTGGGAGCAGAATATTTATTACTTTATATAATAAACTTGTTAAGTTGTTAATAATGGGAACTTTCAAAAGAAAATATTTCATTGAATGCATAGCTTAAAGGATCGCTGTTGTATGTATATACTATATGTGTAGAAATATATATTTCTCATTCTTGTTTTGTCATATTAGAAGTTCAGACAGAAAATCTGGTATCAATACTTGTTTAAGATTGTTTCCATCAGTTCAAATATGGTGTAGCATCAAAAATCCAAACTAATTGGAGCCAGACTTAGTCTAGATTTTCAAATGTACACATGTAAATCAGAATTTTAAGTCCCATAAATAAGTACACTGTAATTTGAGATCAGGTGTTCTGAGTTGAAGCAAGTATTTCACAAGGAATGTAAAAATATTTACAGATTCAAACTGAATATTAAAACAACAACAACCAAGTCACCATTGAAAGGGTTAATATCTGTTTTTCAACAGTCTAATCCAGATTTTTGATGCTGCACTGTATATCAATAAAAAAAAAAGTTATGTACATAAAATTTACAGCAAAAAATACAAATTAAGTATTTATAATATTTTGTTAAATATCATATTGTTGTATCAATAATGTACATATAAAGAGAAAACATATTTAATAAAAAGTGTTTTTTGAGATTGTTTATTGAAGTGTTAAAATGAAAGTTAATTTGCAACTTGTTACGATTATGGAGTGATCAAATTAACATTTCACCAAGCAAGGGGTTGGATGCGGGTGATCAATTTATTTAGAGCGGTGTGTAGATTCCAGTATGCATCAAACGGCACGTCAACAAACTGACATACTAAAATTGTTTTAATTTTCACTGACAGGTTTGTAGATTCAGTGAGTATGGTAAGCTCTGACAAAGCAACATGCTGACCTCCGTGGTTATACTATTGATATCGTTCTTACTACTAATCTGTATTAACATTAAGTTATTTTGACAAAATAAATCTACAAATGTCAATACATTGTTGTTTGCTTCTGCTGTCTTGTTCGGTTGCGAGATGTTTTGGTAAAAGCCTATTAAACTGTTCACTTGTGCATTGCTTTTGGCCAAGATCGATGCATACTGCAATGTACAGTACCTAGTGATTCTCGTCCTGTTCATATCCCTTCAGCTACAACTTTCTGGTTGCTTAAATATCAGCAATGGATTGTCTTTGTGTTCTTTGTTTGACAGCATACATACAGATTTAGGAGTACTGATAAACTGTTTTTTCTATTATGCATTTTCATACTGCAGAACCTTCATATACTTTATATCTTTAAGGAATCCAGTTTGAGAAGTACTGATTTAGAGTTTCATGTGTTAACTTTTGAACATTTTGTTTACAAACTAAAAGTATAAATGGTTATTTTGTGGCACGAGACAGGACAGTAATGAGTGTGGCTGGCTCATGACATTGCAATGTCTACATAAGCTTTACATTTGATCACACCCTATAACAAATCAGTAGTTGACTGCTAATGATTTTTTAAGCCATTCTCAATAATACACATCTGTAAACATTTTTATTTAATGCTTTAAATGCAACAAATTCTACAGTTGTTTATATTATTTATAATGAAATAAGTGAAATATATATATGTAGTGACCTATAAGTCGATTAATCATTTTAGATTTAAGGTAATTTCCCTTATTGAACAGGAAAGATCTCATTTTAAACATTTTTTTTTTTTTGTAATATTTATTTAAGACAAAACAGTTTTTAGTCTTTACAGTTGTTAATTGAGTTTTGGGCAATTCTTTATAATTTACATTTGTTATAGGTTTTAAATAGTGTAGGATGATATTTACTTTTAAAGCATCAAAAGTTGGAAACTACATTTTATACATGTTTTAAATTATATCTGATTTATTATATTATTATTAAAAGAGGTATTGTTATAAGATTTTGTAAATTTGAAAACATATGCACCACTCTTATGTCCAGGTGGGGAAATACTTAATTTTTTGGATGTGTGATAGAGGGATTGGAGGCACTCAAACCATTTCTTCCTGTATCTATAGCTCTGGAGGTAATATGAAATTGTACCCTTAATAACTCTAATTTAAACCCCCTAAACTTTGGAATATGTAAGTAATTAAGGCTTGATTGCCCTTTACCTTTGGACAATTTGCCGATTCTCCAGGAGTGCAGCAAAGATGCGACGTAAGGAATTTGGCAGAAGTGAAATTTATGAATGACTACAGTATTTCACAGTCCATTTACTACCAAATTAATTGCATTTGGACTTTTTGAATAATTTAATTTTACCACCAGGACATACAAATGCACCACCCCGTAATAATAAGGTGTATCCACCGATTTAACTCATGTGTACCAATTGATAATGTTAAGCAATTTGTTACTGTTGAGTTTCAAAGAGATTACAATAAGTAGTTACTACTGTATATAAGAAACTTCAAATTATTCTTCATTCATACTTGTGAAGAGAAGGGGATAAGTAAGCAAATTTCCTTTATCCCAAGTGTAAATAGATTGTTCTTTCCAGTTGTATTTAACCAAATAATTCTGTCGAAAAGGATTAATGAAATCTGCCACAATCTCGTTGGTAGTGTTGAGGTACAGGTCGAACACGAGATAGATTTTAGTGTCGATATCCTTCACGCTGTCCACGGCGTAAAGCGAGCCACAGGCCACAAACATTTCGCCCACTCTCTGTTGGTCTAGGGTCAGGTTCCATTTGGATAAAATTTCAAAAGTGATCGAGTCGATTTTAACCACTACGATGTTTTTAGAAAACTTCGAAGCGTAAATGGCCCAAAGACCATTTTCGTCGGCTTCGAAATCTATGTAATTGTGAAGGCTGCTGTACAAGTATTTGTCATCACCATAAGCTGCATCCTCTATGGAGAATTCCTCTGATGTGTTAGTAAAAGTGTTGAACTTGACGATCCTGTTGCTGTTTTTGGTCTGGTAGTAAAGGGAACCGTTGTAAACGATATGGCCATTTCCTGTAAAAGCCTGCGGGAGGGTGTAATTCCTGAAGACGACGTCGTTTCTGAAATCTTCCATATTTTTGAATTGGTATAATTGTTTAGTTTCTCCTTTGGTTTCCTTTGTTAACCAAATGTGTGAGTGATCTCTATCGTTTAGAATTGGATCCGTCATCCACGATCCCCAGTCCAGTTTGAAGGAATGGCAGAAAACAGGCTTGCCAATTTGATGAAGAACACAGTCTGGAAATCATTATTTAATGTTATTATAATAATTGTTATTGCTACATTTACTGTATTAGTAAATAGGCAGACAAAATAACAGAACAGATAGCCTAATTAACAGTTCTTGTAAAGCAGAAAGATTTTGAGAGAAATTACTACTAAATGCAATACTACAAATTACAATTATAGAATTCAGCATAGATGATGAGGGGTAAAATATGACATTTATAGGATTGGCCATCACTGAAGACTTCCTGATATTTCTGGTCTGCATGCCTTTACTGCTTAACCGTCTAACCAGAGAGGAGTTATAAAATAATGGAAAGTGATATGAGTTTTTCAGTTGATCAGGTAGCACCCAGTTTGAGTACAGTTACAATTAGAGGGGTTGGTCAGTATGCTGGCCTAAAAAGTTTATTGTGTTGTTAAATTAGAGAATGGGGAAGAAAATTGGGTGCCTATTCTCCAGTTATGAACATGATATGAATGTAAATGGTTCCCATAAACCTGAAAAGTAGGGAAAATTGAGGGATTTTCATTAGTGTTCAGAAAAGGTCACGAAAAGTCAGGGAATTTACCTGGATATTGAGTGTCAGAGGGCGTTAAAAACATATATGTGAGTTATGCAAATAGCTCACAGATGTAGCTATTGGGCATGACAGGAAAAGCGTGCGAATATACGAAAGTTACTTGTAAATAAACTTAATAAATACCATTTTTTCTTTTTCCTAAAAGTTCTTTCCATTTTGCATTATATTTTTCTTTATTTATGACATTTCCCGTATATATTCCTGTAAAGAAAAATAAATTCGGTATGAAAAAATGTTTCAGATGTCCAACAATTCTTGAAGTGATTTAGAAAGCATTTAGCATGTTTCTGAAATGATTCTAATTGAAATTAGTGCTAAATAATGAAACAATTGAAGAATTTGTGACTTTAGATGCAACAGTTTCTAAATTTCTTTCAAGTTTACCTGATTTTGGACATTTAGGTAATTCCGGGCAAGTTTCGCAAGGAGTACATTGCGGCTCTTCTTCTATTACAGGTGGAGCTACCACACAAAGAATACATTGTATAAAAATATATACGCCTCAAATTACAGGAGAACATAATGTGAAAAATTTCCTGAAATTTACGTACGTGTTCCGTGTACTGAAGGCTTCGGATCTTTCCCATTAAATTCCGAGGAATGTAATTCTGGAAATTCGAAAATTACATTTTAAAACACTGCCATAAACTTGTGTTTTGCTACTTACCGAATATGGAGAATACACCAGCAACTTCTTTATTCTCGTTTTTGTAGATGCAACGATACATGTTGTATCCGTAATCGTCTTCTTCAATGTGTTTAACCCTTAGAATCATCAGCGTATTGTACCCGGTCTCTCGATGCGAAACTTCATATTTGGTGCTATTTTGCAGTATGTTATTCTTATGCAACCAATAGAAGATACCCAAAGGATAAGCTTCCACGTTACACGTTAATTCTAGAGTGGTTCGTTTCCTCACCCATTGCACGGAATTCTCGATTTTTATGTAAGGCGAAACTGAAATAAGCATTACTTCAGCATCTTTAGAAACCTTAAATTATATTTCTTGTGTTTTAAGCTTACAATATACTTCCAATTTTATCGTTTTTATGTCTGGATAAGCCAAACCGTTGCTTGCCATGCAGACGTATGTACCCATGTGATTTCGCGTCACGGGATCTAGAGTGATGTTTTCGCTATGCACCGAAGTTGCTGAAGAACAATAAGCATTAGTAACATTTTTCTACAGTAAAAATTGGAGCATGATTTATATCCTTACTGAAAGTTCTGTTTCCGCGGTGTAGAAAAGTATGTTCTTTCCTTTTCCAGGTGTATTTGGGTTCGGGTATTCCAGTAGCCTTGCAGGAAAGCACAACTTTAGAACCTTCGGGAACTGATACGGTAGCTTTATCTGTAGTATCTATTATCTTGGCTGGAACTGACAAACATATTTATTATTTACAATAGAAAAAGGATAATTATCGATTCAAAATATTTAAATTACTTAAAAGCTTATCCACTGCCGAGCCGTTGAGTTTGTACGTTGAAATTCCTGGATTACCTGAAGAGAGATTACATAGTTTACTCTCAGAATTCGGGAGGAAACAATGAATTATATACTACTTACCAGGTATTCCTGGATATCCGGGGTCACCTTTAGCTCCCTTAGGTCCTGGCAATCCTGTTTCAAGGACGAAATTAAATTTTTTTATTTAAGATGCTATTTTATAATAACGTGAATTTTATTTATATATAGTTTAACAAACCTGAAGGTCCTTTAGGACCGGGTGCACCAATTTCACCCGGTGGACCCGGGGAACCTGTGAATAAAGAATTATTTTAACAGCTAAGTTTGGAGGCAAGAATTAAATGTTCACTATACCATACCATCGGTGCCATTTTCTCCTGGAATTCCAGGTCGCCCCGGGATGCCATCGAATCCATTCATTCCGGGTTTTCCATCTTGTCCGGGTGGTCCCGGTATTCCATCGTGACCATCAAATCCCGGAAAACCTTCCACTCCTCGCTCTCCTATAACCAATAAGTGTCATTTATACCAATGATTTAAAAAGATAATTCATTAAGAAGTGTGTAATTCACCTTTCGGTCCTCTGGCTCCGGGTTGACCGGGTGGACCCATTACGCCTCGCATTCCCGGATCACCTTTCTCTCCTTTAATTCCCATGTCTCCTTTATCGCCTTTCTCGCCTGCTAATCCTGAATAATATGGTAGAATGGTGGTTAATTTTATAACCAGAAAATTACTAGCACGCAACTTTACCCCATTGTTACTTACCCGGTGCACCCTGTTTGGCTTTTGGGCAATACTCTTGAGCGGAATAACAGTATTCTTGGAGCGAAGTCACCTGCAGACATATCTCTAATGTAAATTAACTTCATATTTTCAGCCCAACGCACCATTGTATCGAGACACATTTGAAATTCGCGATGGGTTATTCAGAATGTATCATAAATGAAAATTACTCGATTTTTTACTCTGGTTTGCTAATCTTCATCCCGAAGAGCGAAAATAACGCGCATTACTTTGTTCAAAGGAGATAATGGGTTAAAAATAACTGACACACTTACCGGGACTCTAGTCATAGAAGTGAGCCAAACAAAGTCGTTAGTATCTTGTGTCGGTTGAGGGTGTAAGTAGAATTCAACCCCAGGGGGCTCGTTCGTTCTTTCGGACGATTGCCCCCTTTTAACGATCTGGCGCGCGACTCGAACCACCTCAACTGGCAGGTCGTCATCACTTCCGACGTAACGAACACAAAGATTTTCCTGGCACGTGTCGCTATAACGAGTCAATGCATAGAAGAAAAACGGAGAAGTCAGCAATCCGATAAATTGCAACACGGCAAAAACGTAAAGGATTTTAATGTGTTGATGGCAATTCCGATGCAAACCTTCGCTCATGTTTCGAACAATCGCTGAAAAACAAGTGCTGCGGAAAAAAAATCCCCTTAAAAACGTCTTTCTTCGCTTTATAGATTGTCGGAAGATAATCGCGATTTATTATAAACAAGAGCGAGGTTCACCCGCTGTTTCGATTATTATTTATATGATATTTCTATATAGAATCGAATAAAAACACCCACACCACAATTTCCTCGATATTACGCTATTTACATTAAAAAAAAATTAATTAAATTCTGTTCGAATCGATAACACGTGCGGTTATTCTTGGAGTTTCGAAAAATTAAATTTAAATTTCAAGTATTCGTATTGCAAAATATTTCAGCGATTTTCAGGAATTTATTGGGAAATAAATATACATTTATTTCTTTTTTCTGGATGATAAGTCATAACTGTGTCAAAGCGATTAGTTTTTATCGCCATACAAAATGGCTGGTTATTGTTTGCAGCTTGGAATCAAAATTAAGTCTTGGTTTCAAAATTTAGGAAGACGGCGACGAGACAGGGGGTCAATAGAGAGGTATGTAACCGTTTTGTCTCCTAAAATTCACACGAATTTAGTTGCCACGCGTAGAGATAAGTTGGCAAGAAAGTGGCACAAGGTCGTCCAAGGTCTTTATCTCTCCGATAACTCGAAGAATAACAGATTATAGCTGTAAATCTTTAGTTATTGTGAAATTCCGTTTCCGGTTTAGTGTAACCGAGTGCATTTTTAAATGTTGCAGTGGAGAGTACAATGGGCAGTTCAGCATTTGGAACGAGTATTTGGTTCCTCTGGACACGTCGCCGGATAACGAATGGCACGTGAATAGGGATCTTTCTCTACAGGTGAGATGTTCTAGAAGTCATTTCACGGGATCCGAAGCGGAAGAGATGGAAACCATACCGTCCCTCAGTAGTTATATGGAACCCAGCAGGAACACCAAAATCGTAAATGATGCGGTTTGGCCCGAGTGTTGCGGAATATCTTCCAGCATCGTGACAGTCAGCAGCTGCCCTTCTATAATTCAAACTCACGATTGGTTTTTTCCTGAGTTGTCGGATAATATTCACTCCGGGGTCGAGACGGGTGGCGTGTCAGAAACGAAAGTGGATATGAAGTGTTGCCAAACGGACGAAGAAAGTAAAACTAAAAACGAATGGGTGGTAAGTTAGTAGGCTTTTTAGATTCAAGAATACTTTACGAGTATTAACAACCTGTTTATTTAGTGGTTTCCTGGAGATGACGAATTTCGTGAAAAATCTCCGGAGAATGCCCAAATGGGCATAAATAATGGCAATAGGTACGTACCTGAAATTAATACACTTTTATGCATTAACTCGAAATATTGCTAAACATCTGAGGGCATTATTCGATTTCTTGTGTATAGAAGTTTGCTTAGAGAGAGGTTTTAAAAATTTATAGCATATTAGCATTTTAAATAAATTAATTATATGCTAAATTAATCTTCGATAGATGGCAGCATGTCCACAACAATTAGTAGTGACTGCATGCTTTGGCGCCATCTATTGATTGTCGTCCTAATTTGCTGGAAAATAGACTTTTTTCCCTTCTTTCTTTGAATCTTCTTGCGGGCATTCGGAGGGATTTTCTTATTTGCTTAATTATCATTGGCTTGCAAAGGCTCACAAAGTAGTCTAGCATAAATGACCTAACTATGAAGCTCCTACTCTTCGCCGTCTATCATCACTAAGAAGGCTTTTCCTATGACCATCTTAGATTTGGCTAGGCCCACAATAAAAGAGGGCGGATAATGACGTATGAGGCATAACCAGGATATTAAAATGTCGTTTGTAATGCAAAACTGTATAATTAGACAATTATCAATACGCAGGAGTTCTGTAGTGTTTGTGGGGGGAAATCTATTCACAAGTACCTATTGGCGCTTTAGGTGGGTAGCTATATTTAGGAGGGCGTTATATCGACGCCTTGACTATATTTTGAGTTAATTAATTATTATTTCTACTGATTAAAAAAGTAATAATATATTTCATCATTTTACAGTTTTCGACATATGTCGGATACAGTTATTTCTATTTCAAAAGCTGGAGCTGATATTAAGAACGAAAATAATATCTGGAATAACGTAGAATACAAACGTGTGTACCAAGACAATCGACTCAACATACCTTACAATTTTCCTTCATATAACGACATTTGGAACGGAAGTAACGCTAGCGATAACAGATCAGAAGACGTCAACGACACTCTCGTAGTTGGTAAGGATCCAAAGCAATTAGCCGAAACAGAAAAGATGTTAACGGATATCTTATTCGACAATCCGGCATTTACGACGGAAAGCAAAGAGGATGATTTCCAGAAGCCTTCTTCAACCGCTCCCATCGTCATCGAACGATGCAACGTAACTCAAAATCAAGATGGAGGTGTGGATTTTCTTCATCCTCCTATGGATAAAGTACAGAAGACGAAACGTATCGATAGCAAAGTCTCCAAATTGATCGACGAAATGACTCGTCTGATAGATGAAGTAATAGTGGACAACGTCGAAGATTCTTCCTGTGTTACAGATGACAAAAATTCCACCCGAGACCAGCTTTTATGTTAAATATTTATCTGAAAACTCGAACCTTTTATCAAAACATTTCTTTATTGTTGTAGATGACTTTTGATAATAAAGACGAAACACGTTATTTATGAATACACCAATTAAGTTGTCTCGATGTATTATGACGCCAAAATAGTTCAACATAATTTTTATGCTGTTTTCAGTTATTGCAAAGCCATACCTTCACCCTAAAAATGGCATTAAAAGTATTTGACAGTTAATTCATGTCAATTTTAGAAATTTCGGAAATAAACTAAGTAAATTGTTTAATTTATCTACAAAACTTAGAATATTTAAATATTAAGGAATTTACCGTAAGAATGGTTTTTTCTTCTACTTTATCGACATCCTCGAGTGCTGACGGATGAAGTAATTAACGGCAAATGCATTTCTCTCCGGAAGATCGTTAACCACTTGTACTTGCGATAAACCGCGTGTTTACTTGACTAATTATTAAATTTACGAGTATTATTAAATTTCAACTTCATTTTATAATTCACTTAAAGTATGTATATGTGGGTTCCCAGACGAGGTTCGAACTCGAGTAAACCGTGAAATTCTTGCGCGACACAAGATGTAAACAACGAGACTCGGGACGGTTCGAGTATGTGTCAACTATCTGTTAATATCTTACAAATTTGTACTTCATTCAGTTTGTCTGTGGATTTGTCTGTTTTGTCTTAATGTCCAGAATAAAGTCAGATGGATATAATTAGAGACGGATATGGAACTAATAGAAACAGGAGACCCAGTTTCAGTATATGACATCTACAGACACAAATTAGAAGTCACATTATTTCGATTCAAACGTTTCTCCCTTAATGCTGCTAGATTGATGACCGACACGACTGTTTTCCTATCAGGAAAAGAATATTGTACAGGAGGAAGAAACTCCTAATTTGTGGTTAAGTGTATATATTTTAATCATCACAATACAACAAAGAAGCTAATATTTATTGTCACAAGTTGTGGCCATAAATATCACCTTTTTTCTATACTGTTAGTTTTACAGTCGATGAATTTATTAATAAATTGATTGTTTATTTGCCACATTAAGGATTTTAATTTGAAATATGAAACTAATTAATACTTTGTAAACACATAATTCAGTTATATTTTTACCCTTCGGTCAATTTCCGCTTTACTTTACATTTCGAATCAATAAAAGGAAATTACTACTTAAATAAATGTGTTTCTGATATTTTAAACAGAAGTTTAATAACTGATATCAGCTAATTTGGAGTATCGACAAGCTGTAATTAAATAAACCACGTCACACGGAGTCGTAATCTAAAACTTAAAACGAACGGAAATTCGTGTTGAAGTCAATTAAAATTCCAAGTAGAAGCGTAAAGTGTGGAAGTCGAAACAGGAAATCACTCGGTAAGTATTCGTTTTATATAAAAGAATTTATTTAAAGTAAATGTTATTGTAATTTTCTTATCATAAAATAATTACAATTAAAAATTTAAAATTAGCTCTAGATTGAATTTTACAACTAAAATTTGCTTCTGTGTTGAATATTTCTATTATTAATATACAGAAATTAAAGCAAAAATAGATATTAATATCGATACATTAATTTAGGAATGGTTCGTTCGTATCACAGCTTTATCGTTATAACAAAGAAGGCGAGTCGCAAGTTTTTGTGATTGTTCCTTTAATAGTGTGATAATCTCTGGTGTTTACTTTAATTAGTGGAATAATTTATATAATCACGTGCATTTAAATAATGTTTTGATGTGAACACTTCGGGACGTATTTTAAATTTATTGTTTATTTAATTGTTAGCTTGTAAATAAAGTCGTTATTAAAAATCCAGCAACGACTCGCTTAACTTCTCCGGAAACATTTGCTGGCGCCGTGTGTTACGATGTTTATAAAAATGAAGTTTCTTATTTTTAATTATAATATGGCCAAATAACTTAATTCTTAGAGTAGAAATGAGTTTTATTTTTAAAAAGTTGTAAATTGTAATAACGAGTAAATTTGTCTTCAATCTGACCCTACTGGAGACGTGACACGAGTACCTTTATCTTCCCACCCTGTCAACTTTGAATTACCTAAAACGAATTAAATTCGAAAAATTCAACAATGAAGCACCCCCCGTATTTAATATTATATAGTTTTAATCTGTTACGAAGTTTATATATACTGTATGTACAATATTTTATTTTTGCAGAAAATTATTGAATAATTAATTTTTATATTCAATAAAAATAGCATAATGAAGAACAATATAGAAAACGACAATAAAAAAATACTGCTGCTATTCCTGCTTGTTCTCGTACAACCGTTTATATTTATGTATTTACTTCAACATTCGAATATTCGAATGGCTTCACCCGTTATCGAAGAGGGCAATATGAAATTTCAGAAAACTAACGATGAGAATGCCATCATCAATGAAAACACTATTGGTCATCAAGTGAAGAAAAGAGAAATCACTTCCGAAACCGAAAAAGATTGCCAAGGGGATTGTTCTCTGACACCAAACTCATCTGAAGAAGACGACGATACAATAATGATAAATGAAAATTGGAGTGTAGAAGTAAGAGTTTAATTAAACCCGTGTGATGTAAAATAATTAATAAGCATTACAATATGCTATGTTTATTTGTTTAAATCGTGTTTCCTTTATTGTTTATGTAGAAAACTGATATGTTGGAATTTTGTTTCGCTGCCGATAAAGTTTGTGGAAGAAACAGAGAAAAATCAAAAGGTATTTCTTTTATTATATATATGACTTATATATAGAATTTTTTATGGAATCGAGACGACATTAATAAATTAACTTTCGTTTAAACAGACGAAGAGAAAGACAATTTTGGAGGAGAAAAGCTACAAGAAAATAAGAGTAAGAGAAATTTTTATTTTACTTATTTACATTAGTAATAAAGAATAATGAGTCAAGAAAAACGCTGACAAGGCTTTGGCTCGACTTTCTCAAACCTCGAACGACAAGTTAAGAAAACGAGGAAAGACAAAGGTTTTAATTGTTGTATCATTTAAATAGTTGAATTTTAACTCAAAGTTAATTGTGACGTATTATATGTTGATAAAAACATACCCATTACAATAATTTTGAATAAATGTGCAATTTATTTGTAAGTAAATAAAAATAAACGTAAGTATTTAATTGACGTTTTTCTTTTCTTTTCAGATTGCATTCTCCAAGAAATTACAAATGAGGAGGCTTTTCAGTATAAGGAATTCGGTTTTTATTTCAGAGATGAATTTAGAACGTCAACATTGATAAATATTGAAGAGGGTCCAAAAGACAGTTACAAGATTATCTTCGAAGAACAGAATAAACGTTTAATGACGGAATTTCGAGTTAATAAAAGACGAGAAGTTAATATACTGAAACAGTATGAATTACCTGAACAAATGGATAAACGGGGAATTATTAAATACAATGGAAATATTTATAGTAAACATAACAATTTCTTGGACGGAAGAATTGTCAAGTATAACATTAAAACACAGAAGTTGACTTTTGGGGATAATGTCGATTTTGTTCTGCATCAATATTATGTCCTAAGTTTACTTCCAGGTGACAATTGTTTCTGGGCATTGAACGTCATAGATTATAAATCAGATTCACGGGCTCACATGATTACAATAGAATCAGGTTTCATGATCACTTACGGGTTGTATAAAATGGATTTGGATAATTTAAAAGTTTTGTCAAAGCGAAATTTTAACCTGACTTGTTTAGCTAGATTTATGTTTGTTGCTTACGATAAGGTGTATTGCGTTCGCGATCGCTCACCTAAGTTTTATATTCGGTCGGCTTCGAACGACGAAGAGTTTCTGTACTTTGATTTACAGAAACATCCAGACTTTTACCACATGGAAAGAGTCTTTTATAATGTTAATGAACAAAACCTTTACGTACTGTTTAATCATTTCGAAACACACTATAAATTTTTTGTAAAAAAGTTACACTTCAATTGTTCAAACGAAGATTGACGAATTGCGTCGAAACCTGAATTGTTTTTTTCTTATTTTTACCTTTCTATATAAAATCGTTTGTACAACGAATAATTTTAATGTTAACAATTTCTTTGTACGCAATATTAATTAATAAACACATTATCTACTTACTTTGTTGATGTATAATTTACAGCAATAAGTACAAAATATTCATATTTTAATTCTGTAATTAAAAATTGCACAGTTATAAACCATAGTAAATAATTTTGTGAATATTTTTATATGAAAAGTAATTGAAATTAACCGATTATATTTCATAATGGAGTTGGACTAAACAGGATATTGATTAATGAGATAGAGTATTACATTTATATGCAGTATCGATACCGTATATACGTTACTGTTAACCGGTTGCAGCTATCCCAACCAGTGTTGTTTTCCGTTTAATTTATCGGTTTAATGAAACGATCGCTTTAAACAATTCGGCTAAAATCCGCTATTATTAATTACAAGCTGATAAGCCCGGCGTTGCTCGAGCAAAAAGGTAACGATAGCGAAGATTAAGGTAATTACATTATAGCCAATCTAACACGTTTTCACAAAATGCAAGAATTAGGTTTCAGATTAATTAGAGAATTTTATATGGATTTAAAAATATGTGCCTTAATCTTCTCCCACTCCCCCCGCGGGGGAATTTTAGAAAATCCCTTCTTAGTGTCCATTCTCATGGAGTACCCTACTAAAACGCAGATAAAACAAAAAATCGCATTTAAAATACTACAGTAGAAGCCGTTTTTCCGGTTAAGCCTTAATGCTCTACCTCTCCCCCCGCGGGAGAATTTCGAAAAATCCCTTCTTAACGTGAATTCCCATGGCATTTCCTACTAAAACGCGTATAAAAAAAATTGAATCGAAAATAGTACCGTAGAAGCCGTTTTTCCGGTTGAGTCTTCCCCCGCGAGGAAAACTCTCCCTCTCCCCCCGCGGAGCAATTTCGAAAAATCCCTAATTCTTGTGCGTTTTCATGACGTACCTTAACTGTGTATCAAATTTCACCTCTTTAGGTTTAGCGGTTTGCTCTGGGCGATGATGAATCAGTGAGTCAGTCAGAACGAGCAATTTTATATATATAGATGATCGACTACATGACTAACAATAAAGAAAGGAGCAAATATTTATTGTGTAAACGTCACAATGCCGGCCTGATATTTTTTATTATATTAGAAATAGAAATATTAAAGGCTACTATCAATATAAACGAATTGCAATAGAAATTAAAATGCATAATTAAGCATTTTAATGTATGCATTATTGAACTTCCACAAAGAAGCAAATAGAAAGATTAAATAAGAAAGTCAATTTTTCAACCAGAATTCGAACTTTCTCCGAGACAAATTTCGCCCGTCAACGCTCAACTTACGAACAGAGAGGCTAAATCATTTCGAGAGAAACAGAAACTTCCATTCACCACAAAGTCAGAAAGATCACGCACAAATTGATCGAGAAAGAACAAACACTATTATTCCACCGAGAAATCAAGCGGCCAGAAACGAACAAAATAGGGTTCGAATCAAACCACAATTAGAAAATAAAGACCAAGACAAATGGAGAAAACGAATCAATTTTAAGAGAACAAATTTCGACTCTATTAATCAAGTTTATGACACCAGAATTCCAACAAAAATGGACGTTAACACTGCGGATAGTTTCACTCTTTTGTTTAGGGAACTAGCGGATAGTTTAAATTATATTGTACCGTGTGTCCGAACTATATCGTGTTCAAAAATGACAGAAATTAAATTATACCATTATTATTTATTATCGATTATGACAGCAAAACAAAATTAGAATATGCTACAGGTAATGAGATACAGAATATCGGCATAATAAAGCTGAGATTTTAAGATAAGAGGACAAAATTTATCGCTACCTGTTCGCATTGTAAATTCAAAAATAATGAGCATCATAGTGATCTGATAGTACAAGAAGGTTCGGTCCTGGACTTTGCAAATAACTGAATACTGTTTTCAGAGGACAAAGAAATAAATTTTTGTTCTCCATATCACGGAAATAGAACCCAAACGAATAAAAACAAAACAGAGAAAATGTCCTAAAACTAAAGTTGTCAGGAACAGTATAGTCCGGGTCATGCAGAACGAATACACTCCTATTAAAGATAAAATGAAAAGAGAAAAAACAAAAACGTCAAATATAAAAGTAGAGAAGAGGGAAATTATGATTGTAATGGAGATAATTTGATAGATTCAGATGAGTTAAATGAAAGTCTGACATTAATTCAAAATGAAATAAAAATTATAACGGTGAATACTAGTTGTATAAATACTAATGATAAGGGAAATATAAAGACAATTGTCGAAAACAAGTATGTCCAGATATTAATAGTCTTAAAAAGACTTAAAGTAGCGTCACGATGGTCATTATTGCTTTAATAATGACAATGGTAGGACTCTCAGTAGTGACTAGTACTTCCTATTCCTATGAAGTCAACGTAATTAACTGAATCGTTACGTAATTACTGGAGTCATGTTGAAGTTACATTCCGGAACAAATGTATTCTGACACACACGTAAGCGGAGTAAGCTTTAAAAGAAAGATCGATCGATTGATAAATAAATAGAAAATAAAAGTTTTGATAACGCAAATATCTTGTTTTCGAGTGTTATTTAAAGGATTGATTTAAAGGAAAATGCAAAACCGTCAGATGTCCTGTTACGTGTTTCTACTCCTTAACGTTCTAAAACGAACTTTATAAAAAGTTGTTTTTCGATTCCAACTCTTTCTATTTCACAAGACACAAACAAGTAAACTCTAAGAGAATATTATAGAGAAAAAAATAGTCATCACAATACATTTGTTCGCTTCGTTTTTAAATATTGATGGATCATTTCCTGAAATTCATATTCAACCAAAGATGTTTGAACTGTTGAAATTATGACTTGAAAAAAATAATAGACATACCTGTAGTAATTTAAATTTCCATTGACGCTGCCGTAGTAAGGCCTTTTCTTTTCTTTTATGATAATCCTCACATCGACTTTTCTTCATATAATGGATGGTCACTGACCAGACAACTTTGATTTGCTTCCTGATTGGCATTATTGGGAATATAAATCTAATTAAATAAAAAGTTCTCAGAACTAGAAATGATCAAAACTAAGATAAAGCTTTGAGAGTGCAGTGAAAAAAACTTTCAGAAAAACTCTTGTCGCACTTTCCTGAACAAGTTATTATACCGATACAAAGCAAATTGAAAGAATTATTTAGGATGGGCGTAGTTCTCAGATATGTTCTGTTAATTTCTGTCGTAGAAAATAACTGCGATGAGTGGAATTGTTAGAAAAGGTTACTTTAATTGCAAGCTACACTTTCGATCAACAATTTAAAAATAAGCAAAAATAGTAGGCAATAAATAATTGCATTATCTCACAGGCTAAAATCATTTAATAAATTAAGAGAAATATATCAATACAATTTCATGTTTGAAGAAGTAGATTAATAGAATTTTTTATGCAAGAAATTCTCATACAATTGTTAAAAACTCGACAGGGTCTCGACGTTTTAAAACAAACAAAAACAGAACACTTATTTTGTATGACGATAAGAGATGTTAACCTCTCACCGTACGAACTATTAAAAAGAAGGGCTTCAAATGAAAAAATTGTTTATTATTATTTAAAAGAAAGCATCTATTTTATCTGGAAAAAAGTTTCATTCGAATTTTTTCAATTTGTTAAAATTGCTTCCTAAATGGCATCTTCTCCTTTGGATAGCCAACTTTACAGGGGCCCCCTGCGATTCGGCTTCTCTGTACTATTATTAGTTTTGCCGAGAAGCTGCCATTCGTCAGTTAGCGATAAAATAATTTAAAAAGTTAACCACAAAATATATAATGAAGGTAATGTAAAAAATGAAATGAAGTTCGTAGCTATCTAAGCTTTGATTTGCTTTCTTTTATTTGTTTGAACCAATAAATGTTTTCTCACCACCCTAAGTCATAAATATTTCAGGAAAGTCAGTCCCTTACCATTGTAAAGTAATTAGCAGTAAGAAGACAGATTATTGGCTGATAAAATCAATAGTAATCTTTTTAGAACTGTAATTGGTTTATTTCTGTATTTGTTGAGACATTATTTGACATAAAAAGCTTTACAATAAGCTCCCACAAAAAATCAAAATAATTTATAATACACCATTTTATAAAATAAATTTATAGAAAATTATAGTATAAATCTTCATTTATTTTATAATGTATTATTTAGAAACTTATTATTTTTTATGTAACACAATACTGGCAAAGAGACACTCGATACAAGCTTCAGTACAGATAAACATCTGGACGACCTTGAAAACAGCTGATTGTAAGCTTTCGCGGGTTGTTCCCAACAACAGCCTGAGGGGAAGTAGGTTTCCTACACACGTCTGAACTAGTTACTGCAAATACTCGATTGTATTACGTTATTTTCTGATAATTTTTTTTTATTTTCTTGTTATTACCTATATTATATGCTAATCTAAACCTCATTTACCTAACATTGTTTTTTTGTGTTTTACAGGAAAAACTCCCAAAAACTAATTAAAAAAACATTTAATACACCAAATTATGAATTAGATTTCTAAAAAATTTTAACATATAACTTAATTTCCTTTACTGCATATTATTTAAAAACGAATTGTCTTTAAAATAAAAAAAAATCGCGACGGATCACGTGACACGCGCCGCTGTTCGGTGTAGTTAGCGTAATGTCCTTGAGAACAGCTGTTTATAGCCATTAGCGGGATATTCTCATACAAATCGCAGGGGAAGACCGGTTTGTAGACAGATGTGCATCAGTTACCGTAAACACTCAAATACATGACGAATTTTTCCATTCGATATACTATCTCTATAGATAGGGACCAAAGAAATGGTCAAAAAATAAACTTCTATTACGTGTAAAATTACGAAACTTGCTGAGGTCATCAACAACATCCAATAGAATGTAAATTAGCTTTATTTGAATTATTTCGACCAACGA